TAGTTACCATCATTTAGTATATGCAAATAGCTGTGCAATAGTGCACTCGTCAGCAACATGCAAATAAAACAAATAAAAATTATACTAACAATCCAGAAAAGTTATAAAAGAAACAAGTACAATTCAGTATTTATGCTTAGAAATAAAAATACAGTGATAATTAATACACTCTGCAAAGATACATGATCAACTGTGCAATAGGGCACTTGTCCAAATGTATTAAAAAAAGAGATATACAGATTGTTATTATGCTAGAAACAAATTGCAACAATATACTCCTTGGGGCACTTGTCCAACAGAGACAGATACAGGTAAACATACCAAAAAGTTAAAAGAACTAAAAAAATATGTAAACTTCAACATCTATGTTTCAAGAGTTTGATAATTAAAATACTCTTTCAGTGAGTAGTAAGAACCAGCATACAAGAATCTCTTTAAGGCTGCCTCAAAAGATTTTTGATCATTAGATAATTCTTTGAGTTTCGCAGGTAAGTGATTAAAGATCTTTATGCCTGAGTAATAAGCTCCCCTTTGAACTTTAGTCATAGAAACACTTGGGGGAAATAAATTGTTGTTTTGTCTAGTACCGATACTATTAATTTCAGAATTCCTTAAGAACATGTGTCTATTATTTACAATGTATTGCATCAGGGAATACACGTATTGAGAACACAAAGGTAAGATTTTCATTTCCTGGAATGAATCCCTGCACGAATCTCTTTTCTTCAAGCCCTTCATTATTCTTATTACCCTTTTTTGTATCCTAAAAATTTTTATACTATATGGAGAATTACCTCAAAAAATAATACCATAAGTCATGATGGAGTGTATGTAAGCAAAGTAAAGCATCCTCAGACTGCTGCAGGACAGGATGGGTTTAACTGCCCTCATTATAAAGCATGCTGAACTTAGTTTAGCAATGAGATAATCAATATGATTTTTCCAAGTTAATTTGTTATCGATATATAAACCCAAAAATTTAATCCAGTTAGAATTAACTACTTCTTTATGCCTGAAACTAATATAGTTGTCTAATTCGTCATGGTTCATTGTTGTAAACTGCAAATTGTAAGTTTTTTTTAAGTTCAGAGTTAACAAGTTAGATTTAAACCATTTATTAACCTCGTGGAATATTTTATTCATAATTGAGTTATAGCCGTTAGGTTCAGGATTAGTTACAATTATGCTTGTATCATCGGCATATAAAAAGATGTTAGCCCCTTTAATGGAAACTTTAGTTATATCGTTTATGTACAGAAGAAAAAAAAGCAGTCCAAGGATAGAACCTTGCGGCACACCAAATTTTACCTCCGCCCACCTGGACGAAGAGCAATTAACAGAATCATTAGTGTCTAGGTTCACTCTTTGATATCTTCCAGTAAGATATGACTTAATTAAAGCACCAAATTTCCCAGTAATTCCATAAAACTCTGCCTTTTTTATTAGTATATCATGACTAACGCAGTCAAATGCTTTTTGTAAGTAAAGGAATTTCAGTTGTGAATGTCATTTTATATTCATGTGTAATAAAGTTTGCTTGACAGATTAGTTCACAACTTAAAGAGAAGTTATTTTGTATCATGTAACATGATTTTATCTCTTTTACAGTCTGGTCTGTCAGAAATACGTACGGAATGGTACTACAGGAGATTCTTCACCTTTCCCATTTGTTTCAGGATTTCTTTCGTAAGTTTGTTGCACGATTTCTTCAATTTAAAGCAGTTTTTCATTAGGTTTCATCTCAGAGGGCAATATTGTCTGAGTTACACAATGGTTACATATTTGCCTCTTATGTGAAAGACTTTGGATCCAAGGCTATTCAGGTCTTACTTATTACCCTTGGTGGTATGGTCCTTTAAGAACTGGCCTTCTTTACAACAAATGCCCATTCTTCTCTATTTGCCTTTTGCCTCCATACTTCGCTATTACCTCTCATGAATCATTCTCTAAATCTTCGAGCCATCTCAATTGTGGCCTTCTCACTGTTTGTCTACCTTCTGACCTTTAAAATTTCTTAGCCATCCTTATTTTATCCATTCACTTATATATCTCTCGCCTTCTCCTTTCAGTATTTGCTGCCAAATCAAGGGGTTCATATAAATCTTGTCTAGTTCTGATTGTGCAACCCCCTTGCACAGTTGCTGGCCCATACAGCTTCCTCAAAATTTTCCTCTCCCGCATATGAGGCACTATGCTAAAAGCCAAAAGGTCACTGGCTCTATGCCTGATGAGCTCATTGTTTGTTTTTTTTTTTCAGTTTACCTAATTCTTCCATCCACAGTATGGCCCTGGGGTCAACTCATCCTCTAACAGAAATGAGTACCATGAATCTTCCTGTGGGGGAAAGTGCGGCTGGTGTGTAAAGCTGACAACCTTTCCGCCATCTGTGAGCTTATTGTCTAGTAAATGTGGGAGCCTTGACATCTCACAGCCCTGTGAGCCTCTACGACCTGTCACAGAAATAACTTTACCTTTATATATTTAACATAGCTTCATCCTTTTCACTCAGAGACCATGTTTCACATTTGTACATCTCAACTCATTTTAACATTATTTTGTACTTTTTAATTTTTCTATGTTCTGTTTACTGTTCTACACTTAAAAATGTGTTGTAATTGGTCAGATACAGTGTAGAAATTTTCACTGGGTGATGTGTGAAAATTGTTTATAACAACACAACATTACACTTACCCCCCAAAATGTTTATTATGAACATGTGTTACTTTTCATTATGTATAGTGTGTAGAAGCCTGGAAGATGTGTGAGGTCATAAGTAATTGTTTTTACATAACATTCCACACTTTTGAAACATTGCTGTATGCACATATGCATGGTGGGCAGACCATATTGTGTCACTTGTCGCCACAGCATGATGCATTTGCATTCTGGGTATGAAGGAGATGGCCACCAGATATGGATATAGCTGTGAATATATTGATATGTGTTTAATTAACTTCCCGACAAGTGGCAGTTGCTTGGTCAGTATAGTTCACTTGCAGACTCAAGCCACAGAGTTTGCTTATTTAAGTGTTCTTATCTTATTTAATGATGTTTTCAGTATCTCAGATTCTATAGCAACAGATGATAGAATGATTGGTGAATAATGAACTTCAGAGGATTTGGAAGAAAAGTCACAGCCTAATTTGAGCGGTATCCTGGCATTTTTCTTGTTGGAATGATGAAAATTACTTAAAACCTGTGTCAGGATAGCCAGCTTGTGAATGCAGATTTGAGCTTCTGACCTAAATTTGAAGCAGGGATGCTAATTTCCCGATCATGACAGTCAGTGTTAATATGGTGAATAAACCGCCCTGGACAGCTTACAAACAGTGGCCCTCCATCATGGCAGTCACACAGGGAGATAGCAGCTCCTTGCCATGTCACATTATGAAATATCAACAGTCCTTCTACTTGGCAGGTTCTTACAAATAAATAGTAGTAAACTGTGATAAGAGGTTTGGAATTTCTTGACTAGCTGAGCATCTGTCAGCTTCTCATGAACAATTCACCATGCATGTAACTGTCAGATCCCTTTAAGGACAATGAGGTCATAACTGTAGGACTTAAACAATAACTGATCTGCAGAACTGAAAACTGAGGTTTCACTTTACTCCATTGGTATATTAGAATTTAAAATGCATTGAGACATACAGATTGGATGACATAATGTTTCTTCTCCTCTTCTTGCAGTACTTTCACTCTGACTGCACTGCTTATGTTAAAAATCATTATTTGAGAGTATTTGTACTGTAGCATATTGACATATGCTGCTGTTTTCTGGAACATTTTGCCAAAGTCACAAAATCGTTTCTGGGATAATCATCTCCTTTCCTTTGATATGACATGGACTGCATAGAAAAAGATGTATCCAACAATTCTTCTATTGTAGCTCGTATTCACTGCCACAGGAATGTTTTTACCAAGCCGTTGCCTAGCACCGAATGTAGGGATACACTCAACCGAGCATTGCATAGCAACGGTATGAGGGATACACATACAGACACACAGACTGATGGGAGGATTTATGAAGTACACCGTTGAGATGGGCTCAGGTGCCATGATATATATACTAAGTTTCATAAAGATTTGTTCATGCATTCAGAAGTTGATAGATGGGAGGGGGGATTCACCAGCAGCATGGAGATCGCATAAGCCTGCTTCAGGAAAGTAGGCTAAAAACATTGTCATGTTTATGATATGAGTTAATTGTGTATTTGAAGTGCTGTATTGTTGATTCACAGTGGGCTGATTTCTTTTACTGTGGCAGTTTAATGCAGAGTATCCCAGGCCAGTGTGTGGCATGCAGAGGACTACATGTGATGATTACAGTTATATGTCGCAGTATGAAGGCAATGTTTTAACTGGTAGTGTTGTCTTTGTAGGTCTTGTATTTGGTTACGTTATGGATTCCTTCTTCAAGATCCATCACTTATCGTAGTCAATACAATAGGAGCATCACTACAACTCGCCTATGTAGTTACATTTTATTTCTACACCATAACAAAGGTAAATATACAAATATATGAATATTTTTTAACAAAAGATAAAGTTATCTCTGTAACAGGCCGTGGAGGCCAATAGGGTTGTGAGCCAGCGAGGCTTCCACATTTTCTAGACAGTCGGCTCACAGATGGTGGTGAGGTTTTCAGTGTCCTGCACTGGCCTCTTTTGGCCCATAGGAAGATTCCTGGTACTCATTTCTGTCGCAGGCAGAGTCGATCACATGGCCGTAGTGCGGCTTGAAGGATCATGTCAATTGAAAAATCCAGTGACCTCAACAAGAATGGAACCTGCGACCTTCCAGCTTATAATATAGTGTTACTTTTTTTTATTTTTTGAGTGAGCACAGTATTCTGTTTTTACTAGTGATATTTCAGAAAAGAATATTGTTTAATTTCAGTAACTCTGTGTCCATTTATTCTGTTCCTTAAAACTTATATGCATACATTAAGAAACTTTTATTTAAAGTGTATGGGTACTTCAAGAGGAACTGGAAATACTTAATATATGTGATTCTTGTAAAAGGTAAAGTTATCCTTGTGTTTAATTAACCTTTATTATCAGTGAATAAGTGCCACCGCCACACGCCACAATGTGAGGGCTTATGGGGAATTGAAGGTATGGCTCTACGCATTCTAAAGTTCAGTACTAGATGTAGGTGAGTGATTAATTTCAGCCCCCTTCTCCCAGGAAAGAGCCCACAGTAACCACTGAGCAGAAGGCGTGTTGATCCCCAGAGCTGTTCTGAATTTCTGTGGAGAAAAAATCTGGCCCTGCCAAGAATCACACCCAGTTCCTGTTTAAATCTCATGGGACTGTGAGTTTGGTGGCTGTTTTTAAATTCATGGGTAATAGTTTATCATCTGAGAATGGATTTTAAATTCCCAGTCCAGTAGATCTGGTGGTCATATTTTAACTGGGGGGTAACAGTATTTGCATTGAAGGATTGCAATTCTGGGCCAGCTAGACTGCACACATGCAGTTGCACAGTATTGTAACATAGTGAATAAAGAATAAGCACCACAGCTTGAGGATAAATGGTATGGAGAAGTAGAAATATAGCGCCATGCAATCTTCATCTTGGCACTAGAGGCAGGTGAGCTGTTAGCTTAATGTCCTGACCACGTAATAGGGGTTGGCCACAGAACTGGTTTGTTTTGGCAAAGAGAGAATCCTGCCCCTGCTGGAAATCAAACCTGGGTCATCCAGTTCATAGCCTAGTCACCATATGATTGATCTATCCCAGCTCTTTATAGTTCATGTGTCATATTAAACAGTATCTGGTGTAGGCACTAGCATATTTGGTTGATGAACTATGCTACAAGCCAGAAGATTGCAGGTTCAGGTCCCAGTGAGGTGGATTTTTTCAATTACCTAATGCTTCCAGCCACACTGTGTCCCTAGGGTTGACTCAGCCTCTAACAGAAATGAATACCAGGAATCTTCCTAGAGGTAAAGGGCAGCCGGTGCGTAAGGCTGACAACCTTACCACCATCCGTAAGCTGATTGCCTAGAGGAAATGTGGGAGCCTCTACATCTCTCAACCCTCACTGCCTGTTACAGAGATAGCTTTACCTTTACCTTATTAAACAGTATTTCTATATATTTCCATTAAAGCTTGCTTTCTCTTACTTATTAACTAATAATTTATTTATGATAAAGGTAATCATAGGATGGTGCCAGGGAGAAAATGAAGTGGGACATAATGTAATCAAAGATGAAGTCGGCACATTTCACCAAAGTATCAGTAAACATTCACCAGATTATGCAGCATGACAGTCCAGAAGACATTATTCTTTTGAGAGTACAGAGCTTTAATAAATTCAACGGATATTAAGCATCCTATTGTATTAACCCTTTGACGTGGTCATTTAAATTCCGCGGCCGCGGCTCCTGCGGTAATATATTCAGCCGGCCATTTAAATTTTACTCGAAAATTATTTATTCATCATTGTTCTTAAATTCTATGAGATAGGAACATGAAACTTTCACTAAAATGATCTTAAATGGTGGTTTTATAACCTTACCTTATAATATGGGCGCCCTGTATCTCGGCCATGGAAGCAGGTTGTTTAGTATTTCAGCAGTGAATGGTACGCCTTGAAGGATGAAACTTTCACTAAAATGATCTTAAATGGTGGTTTTATAACCTTACCTTATAATATGGGCGCCCTGTATCTCGGCCATGGAAGCAGGTTGTTTAGTATTTCAGCAGTGAATGGTACGCCTTGAAGGATGAAACTTTCACTAAAATGATCT